CTATGTCTATCCCTCTCTGACTCATTTAGCTTTACATGATACTTTCCATGTAGTGCCACTTGTATGTAAATTTCATGATTTCATCTTTTCTAACAACTACATAGTACTCCATTGTGTAGATGTACCAAAGTTTCTTTAACCAGTCATCTGTATAAGTGATTATTTTTAATGCTTCTTTTGGTTTGGGGACCAAACCTAATGATGCTGAGGGGGTTGATTACTCCTGGCAAGCTGGTAGGGGGATGAAGGGGGGTTCATATGGAATGCCCGAGATCAAACCTGGGTCGACAGTGTTTAAGGCAAGCACTCTACCTGCTTTTCTATCTCTGAAGCCCCTTTTATGCCATTAAAAAAATCTTTACAGTGTTACTGGCCCTTGCAAAGGTGGCAAAAATGCCTTTAAGCTTTCTTTTGGGGGGGGGGCCACACCTGTTAGTGCACAGGGCTTAGCTCTGGGTTCAAGGATCACACTTGGCTGGACTCGCAGACTTCGGGGGTGCTGGAGATTGAACTTGGGTCAGCTGCATACAGAGCAAGTTCCCTGCTTGCTGTACTGAGCTTCTGGTCCCAACCTATTTAGTCTCAGTCTCTCAGAGATCACTCCAGTGCTCTCTCGAATGTGTGTGTTGCTGGGGATCAATCCTGGGTCTGTGGCATTTGCAAGGAAAGGGCTTTCCCTGTGACTATACTGTCTCTGGCATCAGGGCAACAGCCTACATTTTCTCTCAGATAAGGGTTTGTGACCGCCTATATTTTGATTTTTTTATTGTCTTGCAAATTGACTGAATTGAGGAGATGGGGCAACTCTTGAGGTATTTGTTCTCTGGTAGCCATGGATCAGGAATTGATCAATAATTCTTTACATTTTAAAACATCAATTTATTACCCTTTCTTTGATACGTGTGCCATGCATTTATACATGAAGTCCTGTGTTTGTATCACAACTTTTCTATGCTACTTAACAATTTTGGGGTTTTTTTTGTGAGTAATTATCGTATGTTTCCTTTTAATTTGATGTCAGCATCCCTTTTCACAGTACAAGTATCAGGGTAGACTCCAGGCCAGCATAATTTACATCATCTTATTTCGTATACTTAACCTCTTTTCTCGGATGTATAGGCAAAATCCAGGACACCCTCTCCATGGAACCATGCTTTCATCTCTTAATGATATTTCATCTGTTTCAGCAACATTTTGAAATTTGATCAACATCTGCTTCTGTGATGCTTTCTTTGTATGTTGTTTAGCAGTCCTTGCTGTGGTGTTGGAAAAATGGAAATACCTAATTAGACAAAAATGATTATATTTCATGGCATGTTTTATATATATGTTCATACACATTTCCTTTTTGGACTGATGATATTCTTGCATTACACCCAGAATAAGCAGCATACCTGTAAGAAGTTCTCATTTCTCCCTTTGTAAACGGATGTAAGGATCTGTTGATGTCTTCTACTGTTAGATGCAAAAATATCCTTGCTTTGCACATCGCAGTGGAAGGCTTTTTGTCACTGGTCTTGATCAATAACATCTTTTTGCAAATACATGTCACTCACTACCTCTTCCTCTTATTTACTGTCATTCTTTATTATAATCATCTCCTAAATCAAATGTAAAGCATTCTTTCTCTGTGGTACATAAGATTCACTATTTAGGGGGGCAGAGCACAATGTGTAGAGCGTTTATCTTGGGGGCAAACTGGGCTCCAGCCCTGGCATCCCATATAGTCCTCCTGAGCACTGCTCGGAGTAATCCCTTAGCACTGCAGGGTGTGTACCAAAAGCAAAAAAAAAAAAGATTCATTTTCTAATGGTTTGCCTCCCTCGAAATCAGATGCATTGAAAAATCCACCTTGGAATAGGATGAGAGTGTTACTGTTCTCATTTTTTCCTCATCAGAGGAATTGTCTAATTTTCATATCAATATTATCTATAGTCTGATGGACAGGCATTTAAAAAATTACTTTAATTGCCACAGTTGGGGGTTGGAGCAATAGTACAGCTGGTAGGGTATTTGCCTTGCACGTGGCCACCCTGGGTTCCGTCCCCGGTATCCTGTGTGGGTCCCCTAAACCCCACTAGAATTAAACCTGGAGCACTGCAGGTATGGCTCACAACAACAGAAAAATTCTGGCTGCTTTCATTAGTACATTTACTTACAACTCAAACTGAGTGGCAATAAAATTGTACAGTTACTGTAATACATATTTCAAGTGGATTTTTTTGTTGTAGTTTTTTTATTTTGTTTTTCTGGGATGTTTTGGTGGTTGTACTCAGGGTTAAGTCCTGGTGGTGCTCCAGAGATTTTATGGTGTGGTAGGGGGTAGGGTTCGAACCCTGGTTGGCCGTGTGCGGGGCAAGCTCCTCCCATTTGTACCATCATTCTGATCCCAAGGAGGTGGTTGTTGTACCCAAAATTTCATACTGGACCCCAGCTCCTGGTTTTCTAAGCCAGGATCATGACTGAAGTCCCAGCTGGCGGGAAGCACGGACTGTTGTCCGACGTTAACGTGTTTAAATGGTGGGTGTTTTAAACTGTAAAGACAGCTCAGTTTGGGGTGAAAGTTACGTTGGATTGAAGTAGGCTGTCGGTGTGGAGTGCACAGTACAGTGTGGCAGGTTCTGTGGAAATGCTGTTTGGGGTGACGGGCACAGTGAGAAAGATTTATGACCTCACTTGTTTATGCTGGTGCTGCCGCTCCAGGAAGAGGAAGAGCCAAGCCGTGGGGTGGCCCTGTCGTCTCTGGCAAGACAGACCCAGTGCCGCTTCCTGTCGTCTCCCTTTCTGGACAGCTGATGGCCCTGCACCCTGGGGCTGGAGGGAGCTAGCTCACAGGCGCAGTCTCCTCTTCGGAGCGTTGGGTGTGGGGTGGTCGTTCTCTCTCCCTTTGCTTCTGTCAGGGTTGCTCTCCCCAGAGCAGACGCTTGTGTGAGACCTGAGGATGCTAAGCTGAACTTGGCAGCTGCTGGCCTACCTTTCCCCCAGCCCTTGGCTTCTCAGGCAGTAGTTCCCTGCTTCCTGGCACCTTGTCTTTCTTGCTGCTGGGCGAGGAAAGTGGACCTCTGTCAGTATATTGAAATCCATGTAGATTCCCCATCCTGTTGCTATCAGTACCACACATACAGCACCTGATGTTTTAGAGACATGGATAGAAAATGCTGGAGGGGGGGTGGACACTAGTCAGGTGGATGCTGGTGAGGGAGTGGGAGTAATCATTTTAAAAGGGGCCCTAGAAGAGAAAGTGGCTTTTAACTTTGAGGTCCCCGGCAGGCAGTATGATGTGATATTACTTGATATTGTGTTCCTGCTAAAATTTTCCAACTTCTGCTTTGTGAATTTGGTGAAGTCACAACTGCTTGGAGAACCTGCTCAGAGCTCAGCCTCTTGGACTGGCAGGTTCACTAATGGCGGGTCTTGTGATGGGGCAGATGGCACCAGGCTCAGCTGTTGTTTCTTGTCTAATTCATGTTAGTCTTGGCTGGATGGAGTGCAGTGTAAAACAGTCTTCATTCCCCCTGCCCCGTGGTGGGACTGTGGTGCCCCTCGCTTGCATACCTTTACCTGGTGGCATCTGTAATTTTGCGTCTGCATTTCTCTTCTGCGATTTTAGGGATAAAGCCTGCTGTCTTAACCCAGGCAGGACCTCTGCTCTGCTTGAGCCCCAGCCCCTGCAGTCAGCTGTCCTCTTGCGACCTGCCCTGTGGCACTCTCTGTGCTCAGTGCCTGTCTGAGCTGTGTGGGCACCCAGATGCGGCAGCACTCTAGAAAGGTGAGCGGCTGCCAGGCCCCAGTGCTCCTCACCTCAGATTTTCCACACCACAGCAAAGTCTTGTTTCTGCTGTGCACCCACCAGAGGAACACCTCAAACTCAAAAAGAGTCTATCCGGGATGCCCATTGACTCTGGTGTCAGCCCACGTGGGGACAGTGTCCTGGCCATGTCTGCTTCCCTAGCAGGAACAGGGCGCCTCCATTTGCTTGCCTGCTTCCAGTCCGGCTTCAGGACTGTCCGAGGTGACGGGGCCCCTGGCAGGGCTCAGTATGTGTAAATGTGTGTGAGAAGAATAAGCTCCACAGCTCCCCACGGACATGGGCCCGGCCCATGATATGAATGGTCAGCAACTTCCTTGCAAGCCGGGTCAACCAGCATTTCGGCAGATGGTTCCTCAGGTAGACTGAGATCTCTTCTGCTGCAGGCTTGGGAGCTCTGAAGGCAGTACCCCAGGCCAGCAGGCCCTCCTTTTGGGATGCCTCTTCAGGATCAGGCATTCCTTCCCATTCTCTTGGTTCTAAGGCCTTGCAGTGTCAGCCAGATGATGCTATGTGCCACATGTGTTCATCTGTGACTCAGGTCAGCCACAGAGGCCCCTGCAGACCAAGCCTGAGGCAGCTGCTGGGTCTCCAGCCTCGTGTTCATAAACAGATCTCTACCTCACACATGCCTCCTGCCTGTCAGAGAGTTAGGGACAGAGCACTTGCCAGCAGAAATTGTCAGAACCACTGTTCGCAGAAAGAATGTGTATAAATGGTCGGCACACACCTATGCACCTATGCTTCCTCTCGACTCACTTCTGCACAGAAGAGCAGGGCTGGTGTTTCCAGAGGATAGTTTGACAAGAAGAACAAATGCCCTCTCACAGGGGTGGTCACGGGGCAGGGCAAGGCCCTTCCTTCTGCCCTCTACTCCTATAACCAGCTACGAAAGCCGGTTAGTGAAATGGGTGTGATTCACTGTATGTTACCAGCTTTTTCCTTGTGGAAGCGTTAATGAGGAAACTTGGCATTATTCATTGTCCCGGAAATGGTGTGGGAGCTGTGCAAGCGAGCTCTCTGTTGGGTGTTGTACAAGCGTGGCTAGTTTTGACCCGTGCGCCTCCAGTGAATGCTCCCTGACCCTGGGCTCTCCTCCATGCCTGCTCTGCAGGGAAGAGCCTGGCCTATGCCTGGTAGTGACCCTGTCTGCTGCCTGGTCTCTGATGGCTTCTTCTCTCTCCTGCTGCAGAGTCCTGGTGAAGAATGTGATGGGATCGGTAGCATGTCTGCGGAGAGCGGCCCTGGGACGAGATTGAGAAATCTGCCCGTGATGGGGGATGGACTAGAGACTACCCAGATGTCCACGACGCAAGCCCAGGCCCAGCCCCAGCCAGCCAACGCCGCCAGCACCAACCCCCCGCCCCCAGAAACCTCCAACCCCAACAAGCCCAAGAGGCAGACCAACCAGCTCCAGTACCTGCTCCGCGTGGTGCTCAAGACGCTATGGAGACACCAGTTTGCGTGGCCTTTCCAGCAGCCTGTGGACGCCGTCAAGCTGAACCTCCCTGTGAGTGGCTCTCGGGGGGCCACTGGGGGTGGGAGCTGCAGACCTCCAGTGATGGCACGTGGGAACAGGAGAAAAGCGAGGATGTGCTGAGGGGCTTCTCGGAGAGGTCCTGGGAAAGGACCACCTACAGAGGCCGAACAGGGTGAAAGTGTGGAAGAGCTTTCGGTGATGTGGACGCAGAAGACTGGCACTAGTGGCCAGTACCTTTCCGGGCCTACTCTCCTCCTGGCACTGGCTGGACAGGGCAGGGGCCCTCTCCAGGGCGGGGGCTGTCTGCCTGCCTACCGTGACCACTGCTCTCTCCTGCTTCTCTCTCTCCTGCTCCTTCTCCCACTTCCCTAGCGCATGGGTCTGCAGACTCGACCTTATCTCTGGGCCCCTGGGAGCCAACAGACCAGCACTGTCGTCATAGCCTGCCTTCAGCGCCTCACGGCTGCTCTCTGCTGTCTGCCAGGGGTCACACCCCACCTGAGCTGGAGTTAGGTGCTGTGACCGGACAGCCTGTGCTCCTGGCAGCAGGCTCCGTGCCCACCGGCTGCCTGGGCTAGGGTGCAGTCCAGAGCCAGTGCCATGAGTGGGAGAAGAGACTGGGGCGCACTCCAGGGGAGCGGCGGCTTTTGTAGCCCTGGGCCGGGGGGAGGCCCAAGGTGCAGAGCAGGGAGGGTGCCCTGCTCTCCACAGCAGAGGCACCGGAGGCTGCAGGGAACAGGATCCCTCCCTGACCCTCCTGTTGGCCTTCAGGAGGGCAATGGTGACCTTAGGAAGACGTGACGCAGGCGTAGAGACCAGATTGCCGACGGTGGGCATGAGAAGGTGAGGACTCGGAGCCATTGTTTCAGGATACGTGGCTTTGAGGGAACAGTGCACCGGTCAGCGTGTGGAGGAGGGTTGGTCTGTCAAAGAAAACGTTTGCTAAGGGGACAGGCAGGGAGGGTTGCGAGGGGAAAGGGATGGGAGCCGGCCAGGGGAGCCGCTGCTCCCTGCTGAGCGATATGTCCTCCGACCCGAGGCAGTTCTTGTGCCTCTTGGGGACAGCTCTGGCAGGAAGAAGGCGGGCACTGTCACTCAGGTGGAGGTGGGCGAGCCAGGAGCAGAGCTGTGCTGTGAGCAGGAAGTGGGGCCTGTCCTCAGGGACCCCCTTCCTCTCTGAGCCAGGTTTGGAGCCACTGAGAAAAAAGGGGTTCTGTTTCCCGCTGCTGCTTTCACCGCCTGCCTGCATCTGACCCGGACCCTCTGCTGCCTCTCTGCACACAGTTTTCCGCTCCTGTCCCTTCTGTCACTCTCACCTGTGTGTCCCTTGAGCCACAGGATCCAGCGGGCATCTCAGAGCTGGGCGAGAGACAGTCTGGCAGGGCCCCCTCACCGTCTACCGGTCCGGGCGTCTGGGCATGGGCAAGTGTGCAAACTGGTGGCATGTGCCTGTTCCTTGTGGGTGTCAGGGCAGCACAGAGCCTCCCCTCTGAGCTCCCAATTGGCAAGATTCACCCACCCCTGGGACCTCAGGCTAGGTCTCATATGCATGCCCTCACCCCTTCCGGGAAACCCAGCTGCCCGTTGCCCTGTCCTGTGCAGCAGAGAAAGGAGCCGCTGCAGGGTCAGACGGAAGCGTTCACTGTTGGCATCTGCCTCCTGGCTGGCTCTCACAGACTGGGGGCCTGGGGAGGAAATAAGGGAATGGGTTGATTGGACCCTGCATCGAGACCCTTTGCTGGGCAGTCAGCCTGGTACTTTAGCTCCATGTAGATACTGAGGAGTTTAGGTGATGCAAGAAGCAGTGGACCCAGGAGGCTCCGGTGCTGGGGGCCAGTGCTAAGGTGCTCTGGGCCGTCTGTGTGTAGGCTCTGGGATTTTCCGTTCTGCGGGCCTCTTATATGTCGCGTGGGAGGGAGCAGTGAGCACCGCCCACTCGGGTGGTCCCACTGGGCCAGAGCTGCCTATGGGCAGCTTGCTGGGAGGGAGGAGCACGCGTGACCCTGAGGACAGGGAAGATGTGTTGGATTGTTGGAGAAGACAGACAGTTTGCAGGTGGGCACTCAGCACGCTCTCCCCTCTCTCCCTGCGTAGCCACCCGGCCTATAGGTGCCTTCCCTTACCTGCTTGACCTTGGGTTACCCTTGATGCTTCTGGTTTGGCCTTGGCCAGTGGCCTGTATGGGTACCAGCTGCAGGCCGTCCATCCAGAAGGGCTGCTGGTGGCCACGCTGACTGGGCCTGTGCTCACTCTGTGTGCAGGATTACTACAAAATTATCAAGCAGCCAATGGATATGGGAACAATAAAGAAGCGCTTGGAAAACAACTATTACTGGAACGCTCAGGAATGTATCCAGGACTTCAACACGATGTTTACGAATTGTTATATCTATAACAAGGTGAGAGCCTGTGAGGAGACGGTGGGGGGTCGAGGGAGGGGTATTGGAAGGTCAGTCCGCATGGATGTGCGCACAGTTGGGAGCAGCCAGCCAAGTGCAGAGGTGTGGAGGCAGGGCCTGTGTGCTGCCACACAGTGGGTGGCCTGTGGCCGTGAGTTTCCCTCCCACGTAGACCTGCAGAGCTTCATGAAGCCAGATCAGAGCACACCTGTGATTCAGCGCAACTCCACTATAGAGCTCGACAGTGCTGGGAACTGTGCCAGGGAGCAAGGGGTCAGAGGGCAGCTGGGACAGAAGCGGGGCACCGAGTTGGGCCTTGTCCAAGCACTTCTGGTGTCCTTGTTGGAAGAAACTTTCCCCGGTGCAATTCGTGCTTTCCCTGTGGCACTGAACTGTGGCAAGGGAAGGCCCTGCAGGCACCCTTGGGCCCTGGCAGTGCACTGGCCCTCTATTGGATGCGGTCTCCTGCTTGGGGGCGGGGCAGCGGGAACGAGAAGCCTTCCTAGAAGTTGGGGACTTCGCAACCCTTACATCTGTGTCTCTTCTTCAGCCTGGAGATGACATAGTCTTAATGGCAGAAGCTCTGGAAAAGCTCTTCTTGCAAAAAATCAATGAATTGCCCACAGAAGAAACGGAGATCATGATAGTGCAGGCGAAAGGACGCGGGCGCGGGAGGAAAGAAGCAGGTAAAGTGCCCCTAGCTTAGAAGTGCCCTGGCCTGGCCAGGGAGATGGGGCTGTAGGGGTGGGGACAGCGGCTTGGCTAATTGGCTGGATGCAGTGTCTGCACTCCCCAGAGTAGCTTGGGCACTGCCTCTCTCTGGCATGAGCAGGAAGAACGCAGCCCTGTGGGGGGATCTAGGCCACCAGAAATCTGGGACTTGCTAGGGCCCTTTAAGGGCACAGCTGCTGCATGCGAGTCCTGAGCTCTACCCCTCCCCGTATTTCCCTGGCCCTGCTCTGCTAGGGGTCACATTGGGGGCTCCACTTAGGGATGCTCAGGGATACTGTATGGCACTGGGGATCAAACTGACACCTTCCTCCACCTCAGAGTATCTTGACTGCCTTTCCCTCCCCACCCCCATCTGCTTTGACATACTAACTCCACATACACACAGACCCCGAGGCCGTCCAGCATGTGTCAGGAGAGCCCCGACAGCTGCCTCTGCACCTCTTCTCGCGCGGCTCAGATGCCGGGACTCTTGGTAGTAAAGGAGGCCGGCCAGCTTCAGTCCTCTGCGGGAGAGCTAGTCTCAGGGTTCCCCTCAGGCCTCTGCACTGCGTCCCGACCACCACAAGCCCTGCCTTTGCGCATGGCTGGGGTGGCTTCTCCGTCCCCTGTTCCAAGGGAAGCCCAAAGACAGCCCCTGGGAAGGAACATTGGAAAGCCAGTGAGCCCTCAGCTCCAGCTGCCAGTCGTTATTGTGCAGTTGGTGTACGCAGTGGCCTGGGTCCAGCCCCGCTCCTTGGGTTCCCCACACCCACCGCACTCCACTGAGCTGGGGGTGGTACAGGGCTGCAGGGGGGCTGGCAGAGCTGAGGCATTAGGCAGGGCTGCAGTGAGCGCCCCTCCACAAGTCCAGGCTGAGACCCAGGCGTGCGTGGGGCTCTGGCCCCCAGCTGGGCGGGGCTGGGGGGGCGTGGCAGACTGCCTGTAACCTCCTGTCCCTTTTGTGATAGGGACAGCAAAGCCCGGCGTGTCGACGGTACCGAACACGACACAGGCATCGACACCGCCGCAGACCCAGGCCCCTCAGCAGAACCCTCCACCTGTGCAGCCCACACCTCACCCCTTCCCCTCCGTCACCCCAGACCTCATCGTCCAAACACCTGTCATGACGGTGGTGCCGCCCCAGCCCTTGCAGACGCCCCCACCAGCGCCCCCACAGCCACCTCCCGCACCTGCTCCCACCCCCCAGCCAGTGCAGAGCCATCCACCCATCATTGCGGCCACCCCGCAGCCCGTGAAGGTGAGCAGCCCGGGCAGGCCCATCCCAGCGCTCAGGGATGTGGGTGGGACAGGCTGTTCCCCCCACCTCCCGTGAGGCAGTTCCCTCACCTTCCTGCTGCTCTCTGCTCTTCCCAGACAAAGAAAGGCGTGAAGAGGAAAGCGGACACCACCACCCCCACCACCATTGACCCCATTCTTGAGGCACCCCTGCTGCCCCCTGAGCCCAAGGCCACCAAGCTGGGCCCCCGGCGGGAGAGCAGCCGGCCAGTGAAAGCCCCCAAGAAGGACGTGCCCGACTCACAGCAGCACCCGGCAGCGCCGGACAGGAGCACCAAAGTGTCGGAGCAGCTTCGATGCTGCAGCGGCATCCTCAAGGAGATGTTCGCCAAGAAGCACGCGGCCTACGCCTGGCCCTTCTACAAGCCCGTGGACGTGGAGGCCCTGGGCCTGCATGACTACTGCGACATCATCAAGCACCCCATGGACATGAGCACTATCAAGGTGAGTGGAGGGGGGAGGCGGATTCTTCAGTGGGGCGCTCCAGTACCTCTGCATCCCGGGGCAGAGTGGTTCCCTTGGAACACCTGGGGAGACTTTGCCTCCATGGCGGAGTGTAGGGAAGTCTTCCGAGCCGTGCAGATGCTGCATCCACACCCGCATACACCCCTGGTGGAGGATCCCAGGTGGACACTGGCAAACAGCTTCTCACCAAGACCTGACCTGTCTCTGCAGTCAAAGCTGGAAGCCCGCGAGTACCGTGACGCTCAGGAATTTGGTGCTGACGTCCGATTGATGTTCTCCAACTGCTACAAATATAACCCTCCTGACCATGAGGTGGTGGCCATGGCCCGAAAGCTTCAGGTGAGGTTCTGGGGGCAGGTGTCCACCCTGTGGCGGGCAGGGCAGCTTCTGGACCCACCACCCCTCTCTGTGGTCTGAAGTTCCCCACTTACTTGGTCTTTACCCTATTTTCAGAAAGAAAAAGGGAAAAAATGGCTTAGGATTCTCCTCGAAAGAAACCTTTAAGTGAGCAAACAACTCCCAGTTGCCAGCGAAGCTACTTCCTGCCCTCTTCTCACCTTTCCAGACTCTGGGGGGGGGGGGGGGGGGGCTGGAGGGATAGTGTTGCCCGCTTGGGGAACGGTGCTGTGGATAAGTGGACCCAGGGATGACTTGTTAGCAGCCAGACAGGCTGGTTGGCATTGTTGAGGCCACCCACCTAAAGCCTCCCTTGGCTGGAGTGTCCCCATATCGTCTCTAGTGGGCCTGTCGGAAGTAAGCAGGAACACTTCCCAGCAGCCACATGGACCTGGTCGGTATCTGAAGTAGCACTTCTATTTCATGAACCAGAGCCACAAAGGCCTGGCTTGCCTTTGGACACGCCCCCCTGCAGCCTGCCTCCTGGCGGGTTGGGCTGAGCAGAGGCACTGAGCCCACGCAGCCAGTCTTGGTCACGTTCAGCTTTATGCTGTCATTGCGCATCGATGCACACATGCGGTGCCAGGGCGGGACTCAGGACCTCCACCTGCCACACCTGCTTGACCGCTGAGCCAAGTGCCACATCTTCAGTCTTCAGTTTCTAAGTCGGGGGGCTGGGGTGTCATTTCTCTGGCTGAGGACATGGCTTACACATGTACGACCTGGGCTCCATCTTCAACACCCCCAAAAACAAACCTGCATTTAAAATGGCTAATAAAGTCAATGTTTAGTACTTTCATCTGCTTTATTTTTTTAATTGGTACAAATCGCATATATAAATATAAATTCCAAACTTCTCTCAGTTGCTCTTGCTTTGGGGGTCAGAAGGTTGTGAACTGAAGGAGGTGACAGTTCTAAAGGGTGTGTTATTGGGACGACCCTGGTGTCCTGGGGCTCAGATCCTGTCTGCACACCCTGCTTGTCCCCTTCGCCACTGGGTACTCTTCCTCTCCTCGCCCGCCTGGGTTGGGGCTGGGGGTGGGGGTGGGGGTGGAGGGTGAGTGGGACCTATTTCTGTACCTAGCACCTGAATGTTCTCCCTCTTTGGGGGCCACATAGCTGTGCTCAGGAATTAATGCCTGCCTGGGTTGAGGGGCCCATATGGAAAGCTGGAGATCAATCCTGCTATATTATCTGCACCCCCAAAGGTCTTCATTTCTACTGTTTTTTTTTCCCCCCTGGTTCTCAGCCTTTGTTGTCCTTGGGAGGCTTTATCCTGTATCAAAGCTGCCCTTTGTACTACTTCCATTTTACTGCAATTCTCAGACAAGGCCACCAGGTGGCGGTGTATCCCAAGGCACCTGCCTTGCACTTCTGCCTGAACTGAGTCTGCTCTTTGGCTGATAGTTTGAAGCCCTTAACTGCTAGCCCTAAGCTGGGCAGTCTTGAGCTGCTGTTATTCCAAAAGTTAACGCAGAAGGCATGTTTGTAGTTTTGTCTCTAAAAGGTTTCTGCCTGTTTCATGTTAATGTTACGGTTTTTGGGCCACACCAGGCAGTGCTCAGGGCTTACTACATTTATGGGTCACTCCTGGTGGGGCTCAGGGAACCAAGGATGGAACTGGGGTTGGCCGTTGCAGGCCAGGTACCTTCCCCTCAGTACTGTGTCTCCAGCACCCGTTCTTCCACTTTTAAGGCTTTTCTACCTTTTCTCCTCCTGGACTTGGACCACACCCAGGTGTGGAGGAAGCCATGAAAAGTTTTTATCCCAAGGGACTCCTGCATGGCAGCACTTGCACTTGCTGTAAAGCTGGTGCTTTTCCTGCTCTCCGTCGAGCTCCCTAGGCAGTGCCTCGAGGGCACCTGGGTGTAAAATGGGACTCATCTCCTCGTGGTCACTTCAGGTGTCCCCTGAGGACAGGGTCCAGACATTCCTGGGCCATGTGGTGAGGCTCTTGGCACCATGCATGGCAGGGGAACTCGGTCACCTTTCCGGCCTTCTCTCTCGGCATCTGACCCTGGGAGCCGGGACACAGTCCAGCCCACCCCTCCGTAGACTCACTTGAGACCTAAGGGAGAGGCAGGGCTGTCCTTGCAACAAGATCAGCCTCTCTCAGCTCCCTCCTTGGGTGAGGCGCTCAGACATGCCTGTGTGGGTCAGTGGCACTGCGGACCGTGGCCCAGACCTTGGTCCCTGAGGTCCCTTCGTGGGCCTCTTCCTGTACTTCGAACCCTGCTGGGAGGGGGACTTGCTGCAGAGACGCCACTTTGGGTGACCGAGACGGGAGAGACACCTGCCCTCTGCCTGGGGCAGGGACATCAGTCAGCGTGCTACCCTGACCGGCCTTCCAGGATCCGGCCCTGAAGCAGCACTGGCTCCAACCCCCCTGGTCAACCACGTGCCACCCTGCAGGGCCCCAGCATGCTCACTTGGGTACTCCTAGTCACATACCCCGCAGTGCCTTTGCTCGTGCTGTCCCACCTGGCACGGTTCCCTGCAGGAATGAGCCCTGTAGGGTCCCGGTGGGGTGCATGCCTGAGCCATCCTCTGCCACCTCGGTCTCCTGCCCTCCTTGGGGTGGGTGTCCCAGAAGCAGGGTCTGCCTGGCAAGCATGGGCTGGGAGGGTTTCTCAGAAGAGATGCCTGGACTTTTAGCCCTCACGGGCCTGCCTTCCCCACAGGACGTATTCGAGATGCGCTTTGCCAAGATGCCAGATGAGCCTGAGGAGCCTGTGGTGGCTGTGTCCTCCCCGGCGGTGCCACCCCCCACGAAGGTGGCTGCTCCCCCCTCGTCCAGTGACAGTAGTAGCGACAGCTCCTCAGACAGTGACAGCTCCACCGACGACTCAGAGGAGGAGCGTGCCCAGCGGCTGGCTGAGCTCCAGGAGCAGGTGACACGGGGGTGACCCTGGGCAGGCTGGGGGACAGGGAATAGGCCTTTCTCTCGAGGGCACACTGGGGCTGGGGTGCCCACAGACCCCAGAGCCGACAGGCTCTGTTCATCCCACAGCTCAAGGCCGTGCATGAGCAGCTCGCAGCCCTCTCCCAGCCCCAGCAAAACAAACCAAAGAAAAAAGAGAAAGACAAGAAGGAGAAGAAAAAGGAAAAGCACAAAAAGAAAGAGGAGGTGGAGGAGAGTAAGAAGAGCAAAGCCAAGGAGCTTCCTCCCAAAAAGACGAAGAAGAACAGCGGCGGCGGCCCCGCCAGGTCTGTGTCCCAACGCGTGGGGGAGGGGGGCAGCCTGTGGCCCGCAGAGCCGCCCTGACACTGTCCCACGTCGCTTCGTAGCAAGAAGGAGCCGGCGCCCACCAAGAGTAGACCCCCGCCCACGTACGAGTCTGAGGAGGAGGACAAGTGCAAGCCCATGTCCTATGAGGAGAAGCGGCAGCTCAGCCTGGACATCAACAAGCTGCCAGGCGAGAAGCTGGGCCGCGTGGTGCACATCATCCAGTCGCGTGAGCCCTCGCTCAAGAACTCCAACCCCGACGAGATCGAGATTGACTTCGAGACGCTGAAGCCGTCCACGCTGCGTGAGCTTGAGCGCTATGTCACCTCCTGCCTGCGGAAGAAGCGGAAGCCCGCAGGTGCGGGGGCCGGCTTGGGGCTGGGGGCGGCGGGCACGGGGTCTCTGGGCTCCGCCTGACGCTGTATCCCGCTGCTCTGCTTGTAGCCGAGAAGGTGGATGTGATGGCAGGCTCCTCCAAGATGAAGGGCTTCTCGTCGTCGGAGTCGGAGAGCACCAGCGAGTCCAGCTCCTCTGACAGCGAAGACTCGGAAACAGGTCAGGCATTGCTCGAGCCCCCTGTTGCACAGCCCTGCCCACGGCCCCACTCTGTGTCATGTCCAGACCGCTTGAGACCCAAGAGGCTGTCCTGCCTGTCCTCACAGATGGATGGCAGGTGGCCCCGTTGTGGACGTGAGGCCTCCCGACACACCGTCCTGCTCGGGTGCCCCCAGTCTGCCCCGTACTCCCCCCTTGCCCGGGGCCAGCCCCCCTTCCGGCTGGAGGGGAGGAAGGCAGGCCGAGAGCAGGGTACTCCGTCGTGAAGTTGGGGCCTGTTGTCCTGTCCACAGAGGGCGGGGTGGTGGCCTGGGGGAGTGGGCAGCAAAGATCCCCAGCGTCTTCTGCTACGGACCTGTCTGGCCTGGCGTTCAGTCCACCGCCTGTGACAATCAGTCAGTCTCAGGGGCAGCTTGGCTGCCCCTACATTCAGTGGTGTCCCACGCAGAGGAGCGGCAGCAGCTGCGTGTCTGCTGCTTCCTTCAGGCGGTGCTGCCACCCGGTGTGCCAGCCCCGAAGAGCCACCCGTATCAGTCAGAGGGGGCCAGGAAGGGCTGGCCAGCTCACTTCCTCCGGTGGGGGTGAATGGCTGTATTCTTGAGCCCAATTGGCATTCCTAGTGGCCACCGGGTTCTCTCGGTGCCAGCCCAACCTTGGCTCAGCCTTGGGCCCCTGCGGGTTCCCAGCAGGCTACTCTGACAAACAGGGTGCTCACTGGGTGCTTTGCCCAGTGCAGCCACTTCGGTGTCCTCGCACCCTCTGCCCCTGTCGTGGGCCGGCCCTGGTGGCTGACAGCATCTTCTGCAGTTCCGTGTGCTGCGGCCCTATTGTTTTCTTTATTTTTTCACATTTTCCCCTTTAAAAAAAGTGGGAGGGTTGTGCAACAAGTAATCTGAGAGTCCTGGGAACAGCCACGCTGGCGGAGAGGCCCACGCGATCGCCAGTCTAGAGCTGCCGCGCAGCGACCTCTGGCTTCCTGGGCTCTGTGTGGCCCCCTCTGCGCCTCAGACTCCACGCTCGCAGTCAGAGAACACGGGCTTCCTGGGCACAGAGCTGACCAGCCATGGGGGAGGTGGGCCCCAAGCCAAGTCATCAGAAGCCCCGCTGAGCACAGAGGTGCTACCTATGCCTGCACACAGAGCTGTGCCCACAACTGACTGCAGTCGTCCCTCTGCGGATGGGGCTGGACTCCCAGCCTAGGCCCTCAGCAGATCCCGGTGGTCCCAGGAGGGAGGAGCACACGGTCTATTTCTGTCTCCAGCTTCCTTTCCCAGGCCTGTGGCACGTGGCGCTGCAACTTCAGTCGGGGGAGGAATGTGGAGTGCAGGCAGGGGCCATGGGACCTTCTTCCTGGCCGGGCGGGCTTTTCCCACACGCGCTCTTGGCGGGAGCAGCTGCAGGGGCTTTCGCCTGCCCTCAGGGGAGGGTCCACCATCCTGTCCTGGTGGGGAAGGGCCTCGCACGCCCCTGACTTAACTGTGTGTGTATCTGGTTCTTCTTTCTGGTGAGGATCTGTGCTGGGGCCCTCTCCTACACACACACACACACACACACACACACACACAAGCATGTGCGCACTCTCTCTCTCTTTCTCTCTCTCTTTCTCTCTCTCTCTCTCTCTCTCTCTCTCTCTCTGAAGAAAGTGGAAAGATTGTGCAACAAGTAATCGGAGAGTCCTGGGAATAGTCAGGGTGCTAAAGGAGCCCCAGGGGGGAAGTCGTGGAGTCGTGACCCCCGTGGCTGGTTTCTGGGCTGAGGCACTCTGAGGTCAGAAGTCTTTTAGGATGCGTATGGCTGCCAGGGTGCACTTGGGCACCTGAAGGCCAGCAGAGCACAGGGTCTTGGTGTGCACGTGTGTGGAGCCCTTCCTCTTGGTAGGGGTCTGTCCCCGCCCACCCTGGGCAGGGCGCAGGAGGCTGGCTTGATCTGCTTCTGTTCTTGTGACTGAACGCTGCGTTCCACACCATCTCTCTCACACTGGTTTCTCTCTCCCTCTATGTAGGTCCCGCCTAATCATTGGACACGGACTCTTAATAAAACGTCTTCAGTTCCAGATTCCTTCCCAGCAAGCTCTAGCTTAAGTCCATTTTCTTCCGTGAAAGGGACAGGACTCCATCAAGTTATGGAATTGCTCAGATCCTGGGCCTGTCCCCGGGGGATTAGTCCTGTCCAGCCGCACGCGCCTAGTCCCGCCTCCGGGAAGGCTGCCTGGCCCCACGCGCGGGCTCCGTGGAAAGGCTGCGGCAGCCCTGGCCGTCGGGGTGGGCGGGTGGGTGGCCTCCCCCGAGGGGGACGGCCATGCCAATCCCCTCACACGCGTGCACGTGGTGCTGTGCCCTGCCCTCACGCTGGGACTCCGGAGTCTGGAGCTTTCCCAGGCTGGAGGCGCCTCTGGGGCCTGGCGTGGCCGGTCCTCCTTCGTCCTTGAGGTCCCATGTGGCTGCTGGGCCCTTCCCATCTCCTCTGGCCTCTCCTCGAGTCCCTTGGAGAAAGGACTGCCCGGGCAGGGCGGCTTCCACACCAGCTGATTTGGCCCTTCGACTTGGCGTCCTGCCCCCACGGGTCGGATCCTGGCTCGCGGGCCAGAGCGAGCTCTGGGAGCCCTGGGCAGCCAGGAAGGGCAGCCCTGCCAGTCTCCAGCCCCCAGGGCAGCGGACCTGGTCATCGGGCACGGAGCGGGCAGCGGGTTTGCTGACTGGAAACATAGCTGTCGGTCCTTTTTTGGTCACGAATCCAGCATCCCAGCGACAAACTGCCTGGCATGAAAATTCCCCCAAGAAAATGCATCTGTGTCGTAGGGAGGTTTTTTTCCAAGTGTAGTTGTGTGTACTTCTTAAGAAAGGCCTGACCGTCTGCCAGAGCTGGAAGCAGGCTTGAGGAGGAAGGGCCCACCAGGCCTTGGGCTCTAACTGGGCCTCCCCCAAGCCTGCAGTGACACTGTGGAGAAGTTGGGGCCCCGCGTCCTCAGCTTCCAGCTCCAGTTGTCACGCAGTCGGGCTTGTGCCTCGTGGGTCCCGGTGCAACTTGGCCTGGCCAGACCTGGGGGCTTCACGCCCACTGAGTCTCTCCTGGTTCCCCTGTCAGGAACCCCCTCTGACTGTGGGCTTCGTTTTGGCAGAGAACCTTGAGTTGTGCTGCCACCCGGGCCCCTGCAGGGAGCAGCACCTACTTGGCCGCAGGGGTGAGGGGGCAGCCCCATCAGCTGGATTGGAGGGGCCTTGCACCTATGCCTGCCCGCACTCTGCAGCCTGTCTCCTTCCCTTGAGTTGGGTGGGGGGAGGGGCTGGGAGGAATCAGTGTTTTATTCAGAGCTTACGAGACTTTTTAATTCTTTGTACAATTACCACCCTATGTAAAGACAAACTTTGTGTTGAGTTCAAGACTTTCATGGAATAAAGATCACACAGTACTTGAGGCCATCTTCATGTGACCCTCTCTAGAGAGTTTTGTGTGGGGGGTGTCTGGGCTGGTGTGTCAAGCTGTGCACTCACTTCCCGTCTTGTCTTCTGAGGCTGTCCCCACTCCACCACCCTAGTCTTGAGTCCCACTTGGCCCCACACAGTCTTGAGTGAGCGCCCTCTGCTCACGGCCCCTGGAGTTAGTGAGGACTTAGAGGCTCCGGGCCGCCCACACAACCCTGCAGCACACATACAGGCATGCACACACTCCTGCCCCCGACCCCAGCTTCCTTCCCAGAGCCCCCTGCGGCATGCCTGATGTGCCAGCAGCTGCCCCAGTCTCTGCCAGAATGAATCCGTGCTGGGTGAGGGGCCCGTCTTGGACGTCTTCCCAGGGCGCCATGTTCTCTGCAGCCCTGCTGCATGCCCCCGTGGGTCACCCAGAGCCCATGTCTTGCTGCCTCACTCCAGAAGGTCCCATCCCTGGGGCTCGTGCGCTGGGCCTCAGCCCCGTGTGCCTGGTGCATGTGTCTGAGGACGGTGTCTCGCTGCTGTGCTGTCACTGTCTTGTCTCTTGCATGGAGTGGTGAGCACATGGGCACGAGATCCCTTCTGTTCATTTTGGTGGCACACTGCATGCAGCTGTCAGCCAAGCAAGTCACCCCCCATACCAGCAACGAGAACCAGTGCCCTGGCCAGGAAGGAGCTCGGGCAGCTTGGTCGCGAGACAGCTCCTGGGCAGTGAGTCCAGCTGGCACCATGGGTCTCACCGCCAAGCCCCTGGCATGACCCTGGAGCGGAACTGAGGGTTGGGGAGGGGCGGGGGGTGAGATGCTAACATGAGCAGTGGCTGTGAGCCATGGGACCCAGAGATCCAGGCAGAGACCACATGCCCTTCCCCTAGCACAGTGACAGTCCTCACCCACCCTGTCTGCTGCCTCTGGGCTGTCAGTGACACTCCCTCTTGTGCTCACACGGGGCCCTCCCTTCGCGCTGGTCACCTACCCCCGTGGCTCTGGCCTCAACCCAACTCTCGGTCCTCTCTGCTCTGGGGGAAGGGGGTGGGGGGCACACACCACTTTGTACCTTCAGAGCTGTGACCCAGGTCAGGTGCTTTAGCAAACTCTGGGCCTCATTGCTCCTCGGGTCAGTGGGTGTGGCCGTGGCAGGGCATCGCTGTCGTTCCAAACAAGTGGGGTGGGTGTCCCGGCTCTGTTCCCGAGCTCACCCCGTTCTTTCCTTCCTCACTGCGGCTCACGGATCTCTCCCCTCCCCACCCCCCTCACCACCTTCTCTTTTCCTCTGCAGACATGGCTCCAAAGTCAAAAAAGAAGGGGCACCCTGGGAGGGAGCAGAAGAAGGTATGTGGGCGCCCCTTGGGGGGACCCTGGGTCCAGCCCAGTAGGTTCGGCCCGTGAGCCGGTCTGTCGTCTGTCCACAGCACCATCACCACCACCATCAGCAGATGCAGCCGGCCCCGGCCCCTGTGCCCCAGCAGCCCCCACCACCTCCCCAGCAGCCAGCGGCACCCCCCGCGCCCCCGCAGCCCCCTCAGCAGCCGCCACCACCGCCACCCCCGCCCTCACTGCCGCAGCAGGCGGCGCCCAGCTTGAAGCCCTCGCCGCCCTTCATGGCCACGCAGGTGCCCGTGCTGGAGCCCCAGCTCCCGGGCGGTGTCTTCGACCCCATCAGCCACTTCGCCCAGCCCATCCTGCACCTGCCCCCGGCGCCCGAGCACAGCACTCCGCCTCACCTCAACCAGCACTCGGTGGTCTCCCCGCCAGGTGAGCCGGGGGGGGCGAGGGCCACTTCTCCCTGTGCCCTGGGAGTCAAGAGACCTGCTGTCCAGACGCACACGGGGGCATCTGTGCACACACAGGCATGCACGCACTTGCCACCGTGCCGCGGGGCTCACTACACACACCCGTGCTAAGCCTGGCACGGTGGAGGAGAGGGCCTCCAGGCGGCTGGGGGCGGTGAGGGGGTGCTCGCCTACTGCAGGAAGGGCCTTGGGAGGCTGGGCTGGAGGGGTCTGTGCAGGGCTCAGGCCTCCCTCACTCCGAGTCCTCCTTGCAGCTTTGCACAACGCACTGCCCCAGCAACCGTCACGGCCCAGCAACCGAGCCGCCGCCCTGCCCCCCAAGCCTGCCCGGCCCCCGGCAGTGTCCCCTGCCCTGACCCAGCCCCCCATGCTCCCGCAGCCACCCCAAGTGCTGCTGCAGGAGGACGAGGAGCCGCCTGCTCCGCCCCTCACCTCCATGCAGATGCAGCTGTACCTGCAGCAGCTGCAGAAGGTGCAGCCGCCTGCCCCACTACTCCCTTCCGTGAAGGTGCAGTCTCAGCCCCCGCCCCCCCTGCCGCCCCCGCCGCACCCCTCTGTGCAGCAGTTGCAGCCGCCACCACCGCCCCCTCAGCCACAGCCTCCGCCCCCCCAGCCACACCAGCCCCCGCCACGGCCTGTGCACATGCAGGCACTGCCGTTCCCCACGCACATCCAGCCACCGGCACCCAGCCAGCAGCCACCCCACCCACCACCCGGCCAGCAGCCGCCGCCGCCGCCACAGCCCGCCAAACCACAGCAAGTCATCCAGCACCACCCCTCGCCCCGGCACCACAAGTCGGACCCCTATTCGGCCGGTGAGTGCCCCCGCGGGCCCTGGGCTGTGTGTGGGGACACACGTCACTTGCAAGCTAGGTGACCACTTTAGGCTGTGCCAGGCCTTCCCAGAGGAGGTGAGCAGAGGCAGGCCGAGGAATGAGGTCTGGGCAGCCGAGCTCTGCTCTCGGTGTGCGAGTCCTACACCCTGGCCACGTGGCATTGGGCGGTGTTGGTCTGAAGTGCCATGGCAGGCAGGTGCTTTCACCTGCAGGCTCCCCAGCTGGGGGCAGAAATGGCGCAGGTGCCCACCCTGAGCTTCCCCCTCAGTGCTTACTTGGACATTTACATTGGCATTACGCTGACACCGGTTGTTGCTGACGCTGGCCATCTGGGACTGGGACACTGATGCTGACATTCTGATACTTGGCCATCTGGGACTGGGACACTGACGCTGACTGTCTGGCATTGGCTGTCTGGGACTGGGACACTGACGCTGACTGTCTGACGCTGGCCCTCTGGGACTGGGACACTGACACTGACTATCTGGGACTAGGATGCTGAAGCCGCGCCTATGAGACTGATGCAGGCTCTGGCTTGTAACTGAGCATGGGACCTGCCCATGTGAGTTTGCCAGCCCGCTGTAACTCAGGCCGCACTGAAGCTCGTCAATGTGCTTGAGGGCTCTGGAGAGCACCCAGGTGGTCTGGGTGAGCTCCACTGCACCCCTAATTCACCTGCTCCCTTCCCGTAGGTCACCTCCGAGAAGCCCCATCCCCGCTGATGATACATTCCCCCCAGATGCCACCGTTCCAGGGCCTCACTCACCATTCACCACCCCAGCAGAACGTGCAGCCCAAAAAGCAGGTACAGGGCAGGGTGGCACCAGACAGGGGCTGGGGCCAGGGCCGGCTCCCGCCCACCTCACCGGTCGTGGTGCCTGTGCCCACGCAGGAGCTGCGTGCCGCCCCTGTGGTCCAGCCCCAGCCCCTGGTGGTGGTGAAGGAGGAGAAGACCCACTCGCCCGTCGTCCGCAGCGAGCCCTTCAGCCCCTCGCTGCGGCCAGAGCCCCCCAAGCATCCCGAGAGCATCAAGGCCCCCGTCCACCTGCCCCAGCGTGAGTGCCGTCTCCGCCCCAGGCCTGCACTGGACGGAGGGCCCGCGGGAGGGGGGAGCCCAGGCCCACAGCTCTGTGTATTCCAGGGCCCGAGATGAAGCCCGTGGATGTCGGGAGGCCAGTGATCCGCCCCCCGGAACAGAACGCACCCCCACCAGGGGCCCCCGACAAGGACAAGCAGAAACAGGAACCCAAGACACCCGTTGCACCCAAAAAGGTAGAGCGGGCCCCATCCCCCCGCCCTCAGCCACACCCTTTCCCCACCCAGTCACGCCCGCTCCTGGCTCCTCACTTGCCCTCACCCTCTACCTCGAAGGACCTGAAAATCAAGAACATGGGCTCTTGGGCCAGCCTGGTGCAGAAGCATCCCACCACCCCATCCTCCACCGCCAAGTCATCCAGTGACAGCTTCGAACAGTTCCGCCGCGCAGCGCGGGAGAAGGAGGAGCGGGAGAAGGCCTTGAAGGCCCAGGCCGAGCATGCGGAGAAGGAGAAGGAGCGGCTGCGGCAGGAGCGCATGAGGTGAGCCAGCGGGCCGGGGCCGCTGGGCAGGGCGTGGCGCGGGCAGCCTGACCGGGCCCTGCTCTGCCCAGGAGCCGAGAGGACGAGGATGCGCTGGAGCAGGCGCGGCGTGCCCACGAGGAAGTGCGCAGGCGCCAGGAGCAGCAGCAGCAGCAGCGCCAGGAGCAGCAGCGCCAGGAGCAGGCAGCCGCAGCCACTGCCCCCCAGGCCCAGAGCTCCCAGCCCCAGTCCATGCTGGACCAGCAGCGGGAGCTGGCCCGGAAGCGGGAGCAGGAGCGGAGACGCCGGGAAGCGGTGGGTGGACACGTCTCCGGGAAGCGGTGGGTGGACGCTGGGTGGGGCGGGTCTGGGCTCTGTGGCCTCACTCCGTCCCTCTTCCCCTCCAGATGGCAGCTACAATCGACATGAATTTCCAGAGCGATCTGCTGTCAATATTTGAGGAGAATCTTTTCTGAGAACACCTCAGTGACTTCTGACTTTGATTTTCTGGCAAAACATTGACTCTCCATAGTGTTAGCGGCGGCAGTAGCCGCGGCCAGGGCTGTGTCCGGGCAGGCCTGACGGGCAGCTGGGGATGGCGGAACCTGTCTGCCTTACAGCCAGCGGACGTCCCTCCACCCGCCACCCTCACGGACGTCAGCTCAGAGCACGCCTCGCCACGAGCAAGTGCCGGCCAGACCCCAGCCCCGCACCCTGCGTCTGGGACGGGCCCTTCTCTCCGCCAAATGTCTGCACAGTGTACACAGGACGCTGCCGCCGCCTGACTGGTTTCCTATCCCTAAGAAAGTGACGTTTGTGGCATCCTGCCCGCAGGGGTCACCCCCCAGCCCAGCTGTGGCGCCCAGCAGCTGCTGTGGGTGGGGCGCCGGCCCACCCCTTGCTGGCTCTGACTTTGCCTTGAACAGACCCCGCCCACCCTCCCCCACAAGCCTTTAATCGAGAGCCACTCTCTGTAAGTGTTTGCTTGTGCGAAAGGGAATAGTGCCGTGGAGGAGCAAGGCGACTGTCACGTGTGGGCCAGCCCGCCAGTGAGCGAGGCCACCAACCAAAGTCACTTCCTCCCCTCCTGTGGTTCTGGGTTTGGTTTTTTGTTTTTTTTTGGGGGGGGGGGGTGTTTTTTTCCTATATATATTTTTTGCTGGATTCTATTTTATTTTTGACTCTCTTCTCCAGGCACACTGGCACTGCTTCTCTCCGGAAAGGTGTGATGGTCTCCTCACGGAGTGGCGGCTACGTCGCCGTGGCAGTGTGTGGCCGTGTGTGGCCGTGGTTGTCCTGTGCAGTGAACATAGTGGGCGTCTTTGTTTGAAGTCTGTCAGTGACTCCACCAAACTGGTGTAAAAAGGAAACTCAAAAAATCCACAAAAAAAAACAAAACACAAAATAGGAAAAAAAAACACCCTATATTTTACTCGGTTTCAACCTTTATTAGTCTATTTTTAGTTATAAACCAGAAAGCTGCATTCCCCCTTCCCACCCTCGTTTCTTGGCTTTTTTTTTTTTTTTAACATCAGGTCTGTTTTAAGTTGGTGGGTTTTTTTGTTTGTTTGTTTATTTTTACCAGGAAACAAAGGGCCAGGGGACAAGGTGGGTCCTGGGACCCCAGACCGTTCCCACAGCTGGCTGCCCTTCCTTCCCCTCCCCCACCCCCTTTTTTAATTTGGTAATTGGAGCCCTCACGAGGTCAGTGTGCCATGAGATTCCCCCTCCACCATGGCGCTGGTGCCTCAGTGCTGGCCAAACACGGAGTCACTCACTGGTTTGACTTTGACGGTGAATATGCATTTGGTCTGTACTGATCATGGAATAAACACATCTCTCTTTTGTAATGCTGGCGTCTCCCTGACGTTTCTTTGTGAACCACCTGTTGCCTAGGCTAGGCCCTGGGGGCCACTCCCCCACCCCGGACCTCAGACCACCTCTGTCCCAGATCCACCATCCCTGGGCAGCGCCCACCACCCTGAGCTGCGCCCCCAGGTTCCCGCTCTTCCTGTGGAGCCTGCTCTGGCGAGCCTGGCCTAGTCTCCAGACAGTATTCTCCTCCCCTGCTCCTACTCCCTGCTCCCCGAGGGCGTGTCGCTTTGCACTGCCTGCCTTGCCCTCCTCCTTTCATTTAAGCTCAGGGTTAACCAGATCTTCTTTGTACGTGTACTTCCCCCCAAAACAGGATCCTCACCCTGCCCCACTCCCCACTACACATGCAGATGTGCACACATTCCTGCCCAACAGCCAGCCGCTGGCTGCCCTGCCACCCTGCCTATGGCCCCTTGGGGGTCAGCCAAGTCTCCTTGAGGCCCATGCAGAGACAGCTGATGGGAGCCTTGCTGTTCTTGTTCAACCAGAAAGGCCCTGTTGGTGGAAATTGTTCAGGAATTGCCAAACCACCTGGTAAGGATGCAGTTCAGACAGACATCTTGGATGCCAGAGGCCCCGCCCCTGCTGCCACTGCGTGTGGCCCACGCAGTTGGTTCAGAGGTGACAGTACATGACTTCCCCGGCTGCTCCCAACCCCTTAAGCCCTGTCAGCTTTGGTTCCCTGTTCTGTTAAGAGAACTTCCCCTGGCCAGACCAAGAGGCTGAGCTGGGGATATGGTTGTATCTTCCCTGCCCCTCCCCACACCTCCCTGTCGGGTACTTCTCAAACTGGGATGTGATTAGAACTTGGATTGACTTACTTCTCTGGCCATTTTCCAGTTGTCATCCCCCACCCCACCCCCCGCCCACAGTCCTAGGAATCATTGTCCTATACAAGAGTAAGAGGTGTGCCTGCCCCCACTGTACTGTATGCACGGATCGCTTGGCCAATAATTATGTCAGTGAACCTGAAACTTGTATTAAACACTAGACATTTGTAGAAGGGAATTCGTAGACTTTTCACTTATATACTAAAGGTTTTTTTTTGTGTGTATGTGCAGTTCTCATTGCAAAAATAAACATTTGTACTGAATCTAAAATAATCACCTTGTGACTATTTTGCTTTTGTTTGAGGGGGGTAATCAGTGTCAAGAAGCCATAGCTCCGGTTCAGGCTCACCTTGTCAGAAAAGGAAAACGGGGAATAAACCGCAAGGAGAACAGATCTTTATACAGTGACATGTCATCAGAGATGCCTGCCCCACCCGATGTACTGTTGGCTCATAAACCATTACCCCCCTTAATAAGGGTCCCAGGACGGGACTTTAGCCACCTGCACAAGGAAGGTTTACCGGAAGGGAGGGCTGGGGAGTGACCAGTGATGTGGAGGGCCCTGATGGAAAAACCAATCTGAAGGCGCAGCCAGGGTGGTGCCTTGAGCAGAGCAATCCCGGGGTACCCTGGGAATCCCCAGAAGTCTGCCCCCAAGCAGCTGCTGGTTTGCAGTACGGAGGGCACAGCGCTTCAGGTGCGTGGCCTTTTGTCCTGCAGCAGTAATGGAGGGGCTCTAAGAGCTACGTGTTGGACGGGCGGCCCTACCACAGTCAAGAACCAAAAGAGGAAAGTGCAAAGTCCAGTGACTCCACCGACTCGACGACCCGGCCATCCGCACCTGCTCGTCAAGCCGCCGTCCTCCAATCACAGCCGCGCAGAGGCGAGCCGACGAGGCCGCAGAGCCAATCGGAGACCGAGGCGGGATCGAGCTGTTGGAACCTTGGCTGCAGGAAGGTGCAGCTGCTAGGTCTCTCGGGGCCAGGAAAAGGACCAGCTCGCTCTCTTCGAGGACAGGGCGCGCCGAGGGGTCAGCAGCAGGAGCTCCGAGACCCCTCGGGGCCGTCGGCCCGACCGGGACGCTGCCCACGCCCGCGCTGGAGCCAGACCCGCAGCCATGTCCGCAGCCATCCACGCCTGCTCCAGCCCCTGCATCCGCACTATCGCGGCCCCAGGTTAGGTGCCGTCGCCGCCTCTCGGCTCTGCCCTTTACTAGTCCATTCTCCAAGCCATGCCTCGGCCCCCACCAGCTCTCCGCCAGTTGGGTCCACGTTTCTACTGTGCATCCGTTTCACCGCGGATGACCCCTCTGCTTTCCCAGTGTCCAGAACCCCATCTCCCTCCAAACTAGACCTTGCGCCCCTCTGGGCGGCTTCTGGCGTGCCCCAGCCCCTAGAGTGTGTGCTGCCCGCCTCCGGCCGAAGTTCCGCGGCATCCAGAGACCCCGCGGAATTTCTTGATGCCCAGCCCTTCGGGCGTCCCCCAGGGTCGACGCCCCGCCCAATCCTCCAGCTGCCCCGCCCCCACCGGGCGTCCCCCATCATCGAAGCCCCTACCCAGCCTCTAGAGGTCCTGCCCCAATCTCGAGTCCCCGCCCCCGTCGCCGAGGCTCCACCCAATGGGCGTTTTCCAGGGCCGAGGCCCCGCCCAAGCCCCGAGGGCCCGCCTCCATCGCCGAGGCCCCGCCCCGTGAGGGCCCGCCGCCCTCCGCCCTCTTCCTTAGGCCCCGCACCCGGCCTCGCTCCCCGCCGCCTTCGCGCGCAGGTGCTCAGGTGAGTCGGGCTGCCCGCCTTTCCCCCCGCGCGCCTCGCCCGCCCCGACAGCACGGAGGACCCCCGGGCCAAAGGCGGTGCTGGGCTCCCCGGCCCGCACCCCGCCGTGCCCGCCGCGCCCCCAGCGCCCCCAGCGCCCGCCGCGCCCCCCGCGCCCCCGTCGGACTGCGGCGCCGCCATGCCCGAGCCGGTGGTGACGGCGCTGCTGGCGCCCTCGCGCCTCGGCCTCGCGCTACTGCGCGCCGCGATGTGGGCAGCCGTGTCCGCGGCCGCGCTGCTGGCAGCGCTTGGCTACAGCTGCGTCGCGCTGGCCCACGTGCTGTGCCGTCCGAGCCGCGGCTGCTGCGGCCGTCCACGCCGCGCGCCCCCCGCCTGCCTCCGCGACCCCGCGCTGGGCGAGCACGGGAGCCTGACGCTGCAGGTGAGCGCGCGGGGCCTCGGCGGGGCCGACGCGGGCCGCGCAGGTCCCCGACGGTGCCGCCCTCCGCCCCCAGAGCTCGGGCCTGCGCCTGCACTACGTCTCGGCCGGACGCGGGAAGGGGCCTCTCATGCTCCTTCTGCACGGCTTCCCCGAGACCTGGTACGTCCCCTCTCGCACCCAGGGGTCTGGGGGGAGGGTTTGGAGGGCTGAGCCGGAGGGAGGGGGAGGGGCCGGGACTGTACTGCCACCCTGGCGCCTGCCCGGGGCCTCACCGTTGCCCTGGAGCTCCCCATCCTCTGTAGCCCAGGTTCAGGGTAGGTGGGGTGCACACAGGCCCCCGCAGGGCGGGGCCAAGCCGAGCCGCACCCCGGGGACCCTGACTCAGCTTCTCGCGCCCGCCAAACAGGTTCTCCTGGCGCTACCAGCTCCGGGAGTTCCAGCACTGCTTCCACGTGGTGGCTGTGGACATGCGGGGCTATGGCCCCTCCGATACCCCTCGAGCCGTGGACTGCTACACCATGGACCTGCTGACGGCGGATATCCAGGACACCATTCTGGGCCTGGGTGCGCACAGCCCCGCCCTCCCTGCCGGGACATGCTCTTCGCCCCGGCTGACGCCTCTCTGCACGGCCCGCAGGTTACTCCAAGTGCATCCTCGTGGCGCACGACTGGGGCGCCGTCATAGCCTGGAACTTCTCCGTCTACTTCCCGTCCCTAGTGGAGCGTATGGTTGTGGTCAGCGGTGCCCCGATGCCCGTGTACCAAGGTGCGTCGGGGTGCCAGAGGGCACGGGGAGCCAGCTTGACGGTGACCAGGACAGGGGCTCGGGCACAGTCTTGGAACTCAGCCCCCACTCCCGTGGGCTCCCAGGTCACCGGGGACCCTCCTCCCCTTGAGGGGGCAGCGACACTGGTGAGGGACCGGCTGGGGAGTTGAGGCAGAGACACCTAACCAAGTTTGCTGGCCAGAGCGTCAGGCACTGCACTCGGCCCCGCTGTCGGCTGGCAGCTCCCGAAGGCAGGGCAGTATGAGCCGTGGCATTCTCAGCTGTGGGCTCCGCATTCTCTTCAGGGTTCCCTTGCTCTCGGTCTGTGCCAAGTGGCTGAGTGATGCCCCGTTCTCTGGGCACGGGGAGCTGTTCCAGGACTCTCACAGTGCGTCCCAACCCCTGCCCACCCACAGACTATTCCATGCGCCATTGGAGCCAGTTCTTCCGCTCCAATTACATGTTCCTGTTCCAGCTGCCCTGGCTGCCTGAGAAGTTGCTGTCCATGTCCGACTTCCAGGTCAGATGTGAGGGGAGGCTGGGCCGGGGCCGGGGGGAAGCAGACAGCCAGGCATGGAGCCCTGCCTTCTGTCTGCCTAGATCCTGAAGAGCACCCTCGCCCACCGCAAGACAGGCATCCCTCACCTGACCCCCAGCGAGCTGGATGCCTTCCTCTACCACTTCTCACAGCCTGGTGGCCTCACCGGGCCCCTCAACTACTACCGCAACCTCTTCCGGTGAGTCCAGCCCCCTGGGGTGGGCAGGAGCTCAGGCGAGGGGCTGGCGTGGGGCACAGCCCTTCTTCCACCTGTCTTGACACAGGAACTTCCCCCTGGAGCCCCAGCAGCTGGCCACGCCCACCCTGCTGCTGTGGGGAGAGAAGGACCCCTACCTGGAAAAGGGGCTGGTGGAGGCCATCAGCAGCCGCTTTGTGCCCGGCCGACTGCAGGCCCATGTCCTGCCCGGTGCAGGTCACTGGATCCCACAAAGCCACGCGCAGGACATGCACCAGTACATGTGGGCCTTCCTGCAGGACCTGTCTGAGTAGGGCCCACCCGGCATCCTGCCCAGTGCCTCTGTGCTGGCCCTCACGCATGCCCGCCTGGCATCCTGCCCCAGTGCCCCTGTGCTGACCCTCACGCATGCCCACCCCAGGCATCCTACTGTCCTGGCCGTGAGTACCGGTGCTCACCTCACATACATGTGTGTGCATACATGGGAACCTGCACGATCTTCGGGGAACAGCCACTTGCCATTCCCTGGAGCTGGAGGGGGCCAAGTGTCCCCAGCCCTTCCCTGCACTCAGCCTAGCCCGTGTCCTGCCCAGCCCAGCCCCCTCTCCAGTATTCAGCTAAGCAGGCTGTCTCTGGCAGCCCCATCGGGACCTCCCACTTGCATATAACCTCATTAAAATGAGATAAGTTACAACTTAAAGGCCCACCTTGGCTGTTTTCCAGGCCTAGTAAGTTCTATTTGAACGCTGTCCCAAGTTTAAGTGTAGGGGGACCTGACCGTCTCCCCAAAAGGGAGGCATCCTGGCAGCCAGGGTCCTCTCCAGTCAGCCCCTGGCAGACTCCCACTCCTCTGGCAAGCTTCGGGGGTCAACGTGGAAGGTCAAGTTCTCCAGCAGCCAGTGCTGGGCTCAGCCCCCAGGGAACACCACCGGCACCTCCTGCTCCCCGAATGGCCGTGGACATTCCATTTGTGGCCCAGGAATCTTCTGCTGCAAATTTAGCCCTGGTTTCTGATGCTCTATCCTGAGCTGGGGGTGGGGGGAGGCAGCCCGCTGATGTCAGCATCAGCACCTCCCTCCCCAGCCCTTGATCAGCCTTTGGAGGACAAGACCAGGGTCCGCAAGATGGCAAGTTTTCTCTGGGGTCCAACCCCGCCCGGATTCAGTTCCCTGCTCGGCCGTCCCTCATTCCCCCCGCCCCATAACGCCCGCAGACCCTTGGTAGGTGCCCAGTGCCACTCCAGGGACGGTGGTTCAGGGCCTGGCGGAGACCCAAAAGGTGTGCTTGGGGGCTCTGGACGAGGAGCCGCGCACGGAGACCCGGGACTTGGGGCGCCGGCCAGGGGCGTGGACATGCTCTGCATTTTGAGCGGCGCCCCGCGGCGGCCGGCTGGCCGCGCCCACGCAGAAGGACGGGCGGGGTGCTCGGTGCCCCCCGACCCGGGGACGGGACCCCACCGAGGGGCCAGGGGTATGGCGCCGGTTGCCAGGGGGACGGGGGATGGGCTGAGGACGGACCGGAACGGGGAGCAGTTGCCGGGGTGACCGGCGGGCCTGGGCGGTTGCCCGGGGGACGCGGAGGCGGGTGCAGCGGGGGAGCGGTGGCTGCGATTGGCCGGCACCTAGCGAGGGTCGGGCCAATCCGGGCGTGCCTTCGAGGCGGGGTTCCAGTCCCAGCCCCGAGCCCACGCTCTTCCAGCGGTCCCCGCCGCTCCCTGGGCCCGGAGAATGGGAGGGGGCGGGGCGGGGGCCTGCACGAGGCCGTGGTGAGGCGAAGCTCGGCAAGGCTTGAGGGAGTTTGTGCATTTCCCAGACGAAGAGGGAAGCGTGGGGTGGATCGGAAGCAGGAGAGCTGCAGAGGGCCTGGAACTGCAGCTAGTAGCCTGGGGGGGGGGGGGGGGGGGGGGGGGAGGGGGGCGGGAGTGCGCAGTACAGGAGGAGGGGAGTACATACTCTAGAAGACTAAAAGCAGACGACAGAGCATGCTCACGCTGAGGACACTGCACCTCTAGCACCATCTTCCAGCTGCCCCTAGTGGGCCAGAGGAAGGAACTGTGTCAGCAGAGCTGGGGGACCCCACTGGGAGGGTGGAGGAGGAATAATACCCCCTTCTCTCGTTGGGCTTCAGTTTGATATTGGTCCAAGCCCTCCTGGAAGCCCAGAGGACAAGGCTGGGCATTGATAACAGCAGCAGAGGTCGGCCTGGGGGGCACAGAACCTAGTGAAGGGAGTGAGCAGAGTCAGGACCAGGGAAGGGAGCGGGGCAGGGTCTGGGGGACAGTCCGGGCACAAGGGAGGCAGTTGGGGGCAACCCAAGAAGTGCTGCCCCTCTCAGAAACAGAAGTGGCAGGTGTCCCCCACAGGGAGGCAGGTCCTGACAGGGGACTGTCAGAACCTTGAGGTTCAGAGGTTAGCAGGGCGTGGTCCATGTGAGGTGGCACACAAGGGCCTGCTGCATCCTCACAGCTAAGTCAACCGCCCCCCCCCCCCCCCCAGCACAACTCTGGTGAGAGAGACTCCCAGGACGGGAGTCTCTTCCCCGCTCCTGCCGACAGACTCCTTCCCTCTCTCCTCTTCACAGCCAGTCCCTCACTGCCCCGTTCTCTTTAGGGAAGCCCACTGTTGTCTTCCTTACTCAGACGCGATCCAGGGGCCATGGGGCAGGTGTATGTGCAAGCCTTGCATACAGGGAGGTTTCTGGGAAAATGTGTGTACATCTCTGTGCATGTGCGTGTAGTGCATGTGTGTGTGTGCATGTTGTATGTGCATGTGTGCACGTGGGAGGTTGTGTGTGCTTATGTCTGCTCCCAGCCACTGGGTCCTGCCTGACCCCAGCCTGCTTAAGTAGAGCGTTTCATCCTGACCAGGGCAGCAGGCAGGGCCCACACCAGAGGTCAGCCTTGAGGACACCTTGCCCACACTTCCAGAATGGTCTTTTGCATATTCAGCCTGGTAAGCCACTGACACCCCACCCCTGTCCCCACCCACTCTCCACTGTACCTGGGATCTGTTCCCAGCCCCTGTGGCCCTAGGGATTTGGCCTGTCAGCAATCTTGACCTCCCACCCAGTTGGCTGACTGCATGCCCATCGCCCCAGTCCCCTGGTGCTTGTCTCCCCACTCCCCACCTGGATCTCTCACGGCTACTCTTCCTGCTGCCTAGATTCCCATCCCTGGTCCCTGACTGCCCAGGGGGCCCTCTGGCCTCTGGCCTCTGACACACCCATCAGCTGGGTTGTCCCCCATACTACGAGCTTTCCTCCGTCTGGCTGCCTGAACTGTCTCCTCTGGCTCTTCATTTGCCTTCCTGTTTCTTTTGATGGGGGCTGGGTGTGAAATTTGTGCCACACCCACTGATGCTCAGAGGCTACTCCTGGCTCTGTGCTCCTGGCAGTTCTCAGGATCCTATGGGATGCCAGGATCGAATATGCAAGGGAAACGTTCTACCCTCTGTCCTATCCCTCTGGCCCTCCTTCCTGCCCTGGTGCCCCTCTCCCCCTGCGCAGGACACCGCCTTATTCTCAGCCCTACTTGGCCCCGAGGTCCTCAGCAGTCACCCCCTTTGGTGGGGAGGCACTGCAGATGCTGCCTGGGGTGGTACTAGACCTGAGTGTGTGGCAGGTTCCAGCTTGGTCACTCCACCTGCAACAGGGCCAGTGACCAAAAGGGTCCTCAAATGTCACAGCCTTGTTGAGCATCATGATCATCACTGGGCGGAGGGAGAAATGTTGAACAAAGGATTTTTGCTAGTTCTGGTCTTGGCCACACTGAAGTGCTCAGGAGTGACCCCTGGCAGTGCCCATCACTAGTGGTGCCTGCAATCTCCAGTTCTCAGCCACCAGCCACGTACACGACCAGCACCTATTGCCGCTCCATCCTGGCCCAGAACAAATGGGCGTTATTCAAGTACCTGGTTTCCATCAACACCGACAGCAGGCTTGGAGGACCTATGGACGATAGCTCGGTGACACTCCATGCACGATCATGTCGTGGGCTGGTGTCTGCGGGCGAGAAGTCTGGAGGTCAGGGGCAGTGAGGAGGCTCCAGTGCCTGCACTTCTGGCAGCACAGGGGCTGGTTCAGGGCTGCAATTCTGGATGTGAGAAGGGCCCTGCGGCCAGCAGCCCCATTCCCGCCATGCTCCCACGGCCCTGCGTGTGTGCGGGGTTGGCCCTGGCTCCCGGGGGGCAGCACAGGGCATGTTCTCAGGTTCCAGCCAGTCCGCAGCCTGGGCCCAGCAGCTGTGTCTTGGCTTGGTCCCAGGCCCTGGTTCTCCAGAGACTGAACTCATGGAGGAGAAATGCAGTCCCCCGCCAAGGCGATCCGCAGGGTTCTTCCTCCCCTGCCCCCATGCTGGGAACTGCTCGGCCGTGGGAATGGTCAGTGTCCTGTCCCCAGGCTCTGTGTGGCCACTGTGGTCAAGGGCAGCACGGGGAGGGGCCGGAGCGACAAGATAGCGGGGAGGGCACTGGCCTTGCACATGGCCGACCTGGGTTCCATCCTTGGCACCCCATAGGATCCCCCGAGCACTGCCCAGAGTGATCCCTGAATGCAGAGTCAGGAGGAAGCATCATCGGGTGTGGCCCCCAAAATGACAAAAGGCCAGCCGGGCAACTAAACTGGGTCCCACCTCCCACCTGCTGAGTGAGGGTCCCAGGAGCTTCGTCAGGAAGTGACCACAGGGGTGTACTGACTTTGGACAGTCCCTGGGTTCCACCCCCACCCTGCCCAACTGCCCTCCCTATTGCTTCCCTTCTGCCTGCTGCAGAGCAGGGGCCCTAAATCAGCACAGCGTACCTGGGGCTCTTGGTTGCTCCCGTGACAGGGACCTCAGCACCTAAAGACTCCATGCCAGCAGGAAGCCCATTCCCAGGCAGGTGTGGAGGGTTGCCAGAGTGGCACTGCAGAGACGGGGCCCAGGCCTGGGCAGCCCTTCCAGAGCCCACCTGGTATGGGGGCAGAGGGGCCAGGTGCCTGGTGTCCACCTTACAGAGCACCCAACATTTGGGGAGAGAACGCTCTGCCTGGGGAGAGAAGCAAAAGGAGTCGATCTGGAGATGTAAGAAGGGGTGGGGGGCTTGGGTCCCTCATAGGTGGTCCTGGAGGGGAGGGACTTCCTGTATGTCGACAGCGACTCTACACGGCTGAGTCAGGTGGTGTCATGCACAACTTGTATTGGCTCTTCTCTGCCAGTCTCACCCCAGCACTTCCTGCACAGCCGAGCATCAGACCCGGGTTCTAACCCTGTCACCTTCCCAGAGACTGACTTCAGATCCTGGAGCCATGGGCCACCTCATGGGGCTGGGACACCCCCACAGGGGGC